ATACTACTACTCCTAACCTAACCTAACCTAACCTAACCTAACCTAACCTAACCTAACCTAACCTAACCTAACCTAACCTAACCTAACCTAACCTAACCTAACCTAACCTAACCTAACCTAACCTAACCTAACCTAACCTAACCTAACCTAACCTAACCTAACCTAACCTAACCTAACCTAACCTAACCTAACCTAACCTAACCTAACCTAACCTAACCTAACCTAACCTAACCTAACCTAACCTAACCTAACCTAACCTAACCTAACCTAACCTAACCTAACCTAACCTAACCTAACCTAACCTAACCTAACCTAACCTAACCTAACCTAACCTAACCTAACCTAACCTAACCTAACCTAACCTAACCTAACCTAACCTAACCTAACCTAACCTAACCTAACCTAACCTAACCTAACCTAACCTAACCTAACCTAACCTAACCTAACCTAACCTAACCTAACCTAACCTAACCTAACCTAACCTAAACCTAAAGTCTGCTGGCAGCCACGACCGCGAGCGCCACGTTTTTTCGACGCTCCGCAACTTAAAATTACGAAAAATGGTTTTTTCGCGCGAAGATACAAGTGTGTAGTATCAAAATACGCGTCTCAGTGAGAGGAACAAAACCGTGAAAACCGCTCGGAAATAAGTGAAAGTGAGAGAAAGTTGTGGTTCAAAAACTAAATTTTTTGTATGTTTTTGTGATACGCTGACAAAACCAGATCGACGACCCCCCACTTTTTTGGGGTCTAAATAATCGTCTCGTCGAGCCCTACCTTCTGGATTATATTCGGGATTTTTCCGGTGGAAAACAGCCCGTGTAATCCCGAATTTCTGAAAACCACGTGCTACCGAGATCGACTCCCAGAACATCTGGACAGGCGTGTGGCACACCAATAGAAGCGTCTTAGCAAGGCGAGTCTTTTGACACCTGGATCATCGATGTGTGACAACCCGGGACAAAACAGTGACGCATTAAAGGTCGGAAAAATTTTGAAAATCTTTGGTGTCATTTTCCAGCTAAAGTAAATCGACAGCCCCCCTTTTTTATTTTGGTACTATAAAGTAGACCCTTTAAACTCAAATTCCTCAAATTTTTAGATTTTTTGGCTGTGTAGTTTATTAAAAAATTAATTTGGAATAGTGTACTAAATAATTAGCTTAATATATATGGAGTTGCAACCCCCTATCGATAATATTTTAAAACCTAATTTTGTTAAAAGTGTTCAAAAACAGACCTCTGAAGAGAGTCTAAATTTATTTTTCTAATTAATCTAGTTATTTTATATAAACAAGGCTTTTTGCGGTTGGGCTGGAAAGTGACACTAAAGCAAACCCCTTTGAAGAGGGTGAAAAAACCACGGCGCGCAGATTACAATATAAGAATAGTATAGTTTAGGTAATAAGGAACATATTACTTTTTAAATTGTGAAATTTGGACAATTTTTCGAATCGCGATCTTCGTTAGCATCTTTGTTTGCATCAGAGTTCAGCCGCAAATTGAGGCTGTCGCGGAGATCGCGATCTGAAAATCTACTTTTTAAATAACAAGAAATCCGAGTTTTTTTTGTAAGGAGTGGATAGAGCATGGTTAAAAACCACCCTCCACGTTTTTAAATTTTTGGAAAAGCTCAGTTTTTAGTAGAAAAATAGACCTAAACTCAAAAATTTAATAAACAATTTTACCCGATATATCTGGCAGTGTTGTTGTTATTGAATAGACTACGATTTACGTTACGATTTAAAACGGGTAAGGTACAATACAAAATTGTAATATAGACTTAGGTAGATTTAGAAATCTACCTAGACCTTGACTAAAAATATTTTTCTTTTATTATTTCTTATATTAATATTAGTTGTACTGTATTTACACTTTGACACTGACCCCCCTATACAGGGCCAGACAGACATTCTATATACTTGACAACTTTCCCCGTTACTCGCACTATACACTACATCGCACTCTCTCTCTCTCTCTCTCACACACACCCACACACACACACACACACACACACACACACACACACACACACACATACACTAATTNCCTAACCTAACCTAACCTAACCTAACCTAACCAGAGTCTGCTGGCAGCCACGACCGCGAGCGCCACGTTTTTTCCACGCTCCGCAACTTAAAATTACGAAAAATGGTTTATTCGCGCGAAGATACAAGTGTGTAGTATCAAAATACGCGTCTCAGTGAGAGGAACACAACCGTGAAAACCGCTTGGAAATAAGTGAAAGTGAGAGAAAGTTGTGGTTCAAAAACTACATTTTTTGTATGTTTTTGTGATACGCTGACAAAACCAGATCGACGACCCCCCACTTTTTTGGGGCCTAAATAATCGTCTCGTCGAGCCCTACCTTCTGGACTATACCCAGGATTTTTCCGGTGGAAAACAGCCAGTGTAATCCCGAATTTCTGAAAACCACGTGCTACCGAGATCGACTCCCAGGACACCTGGACAGGCGTGTGGCACACCAATAGAAGCGTCTTGGCAAGGCGAATCTTTTGACACCTGGATCATCGAGATCAGACAACCCGGGATAACACAGTGAAGCTTTAAAGGTCGGCAAAATTTTGAAAATCTTTGGTGTCATTTTCCAGCTAAAGTAAATCGACAACCCCCCTTTTTTTATTTTGTTATTATAAAGTAGACCCCTTAAAATTAAATTCTCCAAATTTTTAGATTTTTTGGATGTGTAGTTTATTAAAAAATTAATTTTGAATAGTGTACTAAATAATCAGTTCAATATAAAGGGAGTTACACCCCCCTACCGATAATATTTTAAAAATTAATTTTGTTAAAAGTGTTTAAAAATAGACCTCTGAAGAAAGTTTAATTTTGTTTTCTAATTAATCTAGTTAATTTATAAAAACAAGGCTTTTTGCGGTTGGGCGGGAAAGTGACACCAAAGCAAACCCCTTTGAAGAGGGTGAAAAAACCACGGCGCGCAGATTATAATATAAGTATAGTATAGTTTAGGTCATAAGGAACACATTACTTTTTAAATGGTGAATTTTGGATAATTTTTCGAATCGCGATCTTCGTTAGCATCTTTATTTACATCAGAGTTCAGCCGCAAATTGAGGCTGTCGCGGAGATCGCGATCTGAAAATCTACTTTTTAGATAATAATAAATTCGAGATTTTCTTATAAGGGCTGGATAGAGCGTGGTTAAAAACCACCCTCCACGTTTTTAAATTTTTGGAAAAACTCTTTTTTCAGCAGAAAAAATAGACCTAAACTTAAAAAATTTAATAACAAATTTTACCCGATATATCGGGCAGTGTTGGAAAGGGAAATAATGTTTTGCACGACCCAGGGCCGTATCCAGTAAACCAAGGGAGATAGACAAATTTTTGAGCTCGAATTCGACTTCAATTAGATAATTCAATTAACTAAAAATATTTTAGTATTCTTTGTCATAGAATAGACAACCATTATTTATAATAGGTACATAAGGGACTACAAAATTTTTTTAAATCGACTTAGCTAGATTTAGAAATCTACTAAACTAACTTCGACTAAACTTCGACACTAAAAAATATATCTTTATTAATTTATAATTTTAATTGCACTGTATTAACATTTACATTTGGACACTGACCCCCTTATACAGGGTCAGACAGACATATACACTCGACAACTTTCCCCGCTGTACTCGCACTACATCACATCACACTTACATCACACTCTCTCACACACATACACACAATGTTCCATACACTAACAACATCTGGCGCTGCCAAAAAACCTCAAATTCCCAGCCCCGCTACCTCACCTTCGGTAATGCCGGACGCTGCCAGGACTTTCATTAAAAGACCAGAAACAAAAAGAAGGTCGCTTGATAATATGGACCTGTATAGAAAGCAGCAGCAGTACTATGCTGAGACACCGAGCGACCAATTACTCCAGGAAGTGATGAAAACGTTTGAGGATATACCCTCAAAGGTCCAGCAGTACCCTCAGATGAGGCGGGACATCAAGTCCTTCCTGGAGTCACAATCGGACAAAAGTATCCGCATACTCTTTGAGTTGAGTAAGCGGATGAAGTGTCTGGAAGCAGCGGCGTCCGGGACTAGCATACATACAGTAGCGTCATCTTCTAACAAAGAAGAANACTCTCACACACACACACACACACACACACACACACACACACACACACACACACACACACAATGTTTCGTACACCAACAACAACTGGCGCTGTCAAAAAATCCACTACTCCCAGCCCCGCTACTTCACCTGCGGCAGTATCGGAAGCTGCCAGGACTTTTATCAAGAGACCGGAAACGAAAAGAAGGTCGCTTGATAATATGGATCTGTACAGAAGGCAGCAGCAGAACTACGCTGAGATACCGAGCGACAAACTACTCCTGGAAGTAATGAAGACATTTGAGGATATACCCTCAAAGGTTCAGCAGTACCCTCAGATGAGACGGGACATCAAGTCCTTCCTGGAGGTACAATCGGACAGATGTATCCGCATGCTTTTTGAGTTGAGTAAGCGGATGAAGACTCTGGAAGCAGCAGCGCCCGAGACTAGTACACAGACAGCAGCTTTATTTACTGACAAAGAACAAAAACTGCTGGAAAAACTGGCAGAGATGGAAAACGTAATAACCACGCGGATTAGTCAAACGGAAGCCAACCTGAAGAAAGAAGTAGCGGAGCTTAACTCAACAAACGACGATCGAGGCGCTAACATCGTGGAATACGTTTACAACAGATTTGAGGAGGCCAAGGTTGCAATAGGTAAATCGACCGANAGCGGATGAAGACTCTGGAAGCAGCAGCGCCCGAAACTAGTACACAGACAGCAGCTTTATTTTCTGACAAAGAACAAAAACTGCTGGAAAAACTGGCAGAGATGGAAAACGTAATAACCACGCGGATTAGTCAAACGGAAGCCAACCTGAAGAAAGAAGTAGCGGAGCTTAACTCAACAAACGACGATCGAGGCGCTAACATCGTGGAATACGTTTACAACAGATTTGAGGAGGCCAAGGTTGCAATAGGTAAATCGACCGAGGGGGTCGTGGGACGGACGCAAGCTCGTCTCGAAGATTTGGTTGGCACTGTCGCTGGAGATGTTGCCGAAGCCAAAATGCAAATAAGCGATATTGCAAAAGGGTTGATATCTGAGAGTAGCACGATCCCCAAAACGTATGCCAACGCCGCAGCAGCTAAGCCCGGGCGTCGTCCGGCGCTTTATTCGATGGCGGTAACCTTTGAAGACGATCAAGAGACTGCGGAAGAGGTACTCGCGAGAGTAAAGAAGGCGGTTGACGCTGGGGGTACTGGCCTCAAGGTAAATAAAGTAAGAAAGGCCAAGAATAGCGCAGTCATACTAGGCTGCGACACGGAAATTGAACTGGAAAAGGTGAGAGAGAGGATAGAAAGCCACGGCGAGGGGTTAATCGTAAAGCCCATGAAGAACAAGGACCCACTCGTCGTCCTTAAAGACGTATTTATAGACAACGACGACGATGAAATGATAAAGGCCCTTTACGCCCAAAACACCGATATCTTCATGGGCCTATCACAAGAGGAGATGGACTTGATAATCAAATATAAAAAGAGGACCAGAAATCCTAAGACCTCCCACGTTGTCATCCAGGTACGGCCGAAGGTATGGCAGAGGATGACGGAGGCTGGCGCCCTCTATCTGGACCTGCAAAGAGTCAGGGTAGAGGACCAGTCTCCGCTCATTCAGTGCACGAAGTGCCTCGCTTTCGGACATGGCCGCAAATTATGCACCGAGAGTGTGGACAGGTGCAGTCACTGTGGAGGCCCACACCTACGCGAGAAATGCGCCGATTATGCCGCGGGAATCGAACCTCAGTGCTGCAATTGTCTACACTCCAAGTTGCGGAGTACGGATCACAACGCTTTCAGTGTCGAGTGTCCAACCCGCAAAAAGTGGGACTACCTGGCAAGATCAAACACGGCATACATATGACCCATCCACTCAGTGGAACGCACACACATGAAACATAAACACACGCACACACACATACACACACCGATATAAAAGTATATAATAAATATATATGGATATATCAACACAGGCAAACAAACACTGAACACGTATACAAATGACTAAATAGAAAACAGCTAAAGAAATTATTTCGCAACAAGAAATGACAATAAGTATATATACTAGAGTATATATATACTATTGACAAAGAAACAATGGAAATCATAGATACACTGAGTCAAAATGTCACTATTCCAAAGTTCAAATAAAGACATTTTTATAAAGAATTAATACCGGAAGGAACCATAGAAATAAGCCAAAAACATATTGTTGAATAGAATAAGAAACAAAAATTGTAAAGAACTAGATTTTAAGAATTAAGTAAGAGTGAGTACAATAAACGGTGAATAGAATAAGAAATAGATAGTAAGCTCTAGACACAACAACATAATACTGTACTGTAAGAAAATAAATTTAAACATATTATTAAATAGAGTAAGAAACAAATATTTGTAAAAAACTAGATATAAAATTGTGAATAAAATAAGAAATAGATAGTAAGCTGTAGACATAACAATTTAATACTGTACTGTAAGAAAATAGAAGTTGAAAAATATTGTAGCTATATTGTATTGGACAATGTTGTAAAGCTGTTAAACAAAAAATTAATGAACTAAGCCCACGGTTACAATAAACGGTCACATACGTAGTTAAATTATTCCCCCAAGAGATAAAAATAAAAGATAGTCAAAGTAGCGGGAGTCCCACCCGGCTAAGAAAGTAAGGTGATGGATGAAAGAAAGAAATAGTATGAGGCATGTCAGTGCGAGAAGCATAGAAGCGAGAAATGGTATGAATGTGTTACTTAGAATAATAAGGTCCTGCCGAGCCTATGGGCGGGGAAAGGCGTAAAAAAAAAAAAAAAANGACGTCGGGAGGAAGAAAAAAAAAAAAAAAAAAAAAAAAAAAAAAAAAAAAAAAAAAAAAAAAAAAAAAAAAAGTATAGTTACAACGGCTGCCCCACCCTTCAAATCGAAACGCATTACCGCTTCACGGCAGAAATAGGCAGGCGTGCTTCTGCTGGGATCAAACACGCGTCTCGGTTTGAAGAGCAGGACTATCTAGCAATGCCAGTAAGAGTTGNAACCTAACCTAACCTAACCTAACCTAACCTAACCTAACCTAACCTAACCTAACCTAACCTAACCTAACCTAACCTAACCTAACCTAACCTAACCTAACCTAACCTAACCTAACCCCACGTGGTCACAACACAAAGTGGCGTGCGCCGCTCGATTTTTATCGATGAGGTGTACTTTTTCAAGTGTGGTTTTAAAGGTATAAGTTTCATACACCTTTCACCCGATTTCCAGATTTTTTCCGTGGAAACTGACGGTGCTACACTCGTTTAAGTGAAAACCACGTGGCCACGTGGTCCCCCTTCCACTGGGAGTTGAACGATGTGAACTACCTCCGGAGATAGCCCAGAGAGCCTCTATCAAAAGACCGTTTGAATCTTCACATTATCTCACTCCAGGACGGAGATATAGGAAATTTACTAAAAAAGTGCGTAATATTCCAACTTTCGACGCAAATTAATCAGAAATAAGATCTGTAACCCCCCTTTTTCCTAGTGTAGGACGTGGCTGGAATCATTTCCAACACCTCCACAAAAATCCAGATTTTTATCCCTAGGGGTTACTCAGTTACAGACATTTCTTCCTATTCGTGTTGAAAGTCCAACGGGAGTGAAGGAGAAAGAAATATCATCTATCTCAACGGGTGGCCTGTTGTCAACAAGGAGGCGTAGGCTATGTCACACAAATTGGTACGCGACGTAGACCTCCTCGTAGCCAAGCAGCGTAGAGGCGTAGCAGCCAACGTAGCACACCCGACGGTCGCTACGAGGAGCCATTGTGTGTAAGTTCGCGTGCCGAAGTGACCATTTGGATTTCTTCTTTTGTTTTATGAGTGGACGAAATATAATTAAATAAAATTTGAACAGAATTGCACGTGGCGGTCGCGTGATTGTTGTTTACGCGCAAACCGAGTGACCGGAGTGCGCGCTCAAGGTCAATTGCCGTCTTGTTTGTTTCTTGTTTGTTTCGTTTTGTGCCTATTCTCATATTTGAACAAACAAGTACAGGGAAAATTGTAAATTATTATAGCGGAATTAATGCATGCGCGTCAAAATACATTACAGAAACATTGTTTTGGCAACGTAGTGATACATCGACGACTTGGAGAATTGCAGATTTAATTATGTAGATAGTTTTAAGCTTAGTATATTAATTTTATTGCTACTCTAGGATACATTGTTGTATCTATTAGACAATAGTCGACAATAATATATCTGACATATTTTGTAAATGGTAATTTAAGTTATTATTACGTTTACACATTAGGCATAACATTGTTAGTTTGCTGAATAAGTGTGTTTTTAGAATATAATAATATCAGTTTCCATCGCAGCCGTGAATGCATCACTGTATTCATTAGAAATTTGATAATAACTTAACTGACGATATATTATCAAACTAATTAACCTTGAATTTTATAATTTAGATTAGATATTATTTTATTGACACAGACCCCCCTTTACAGGGTCTGCAAGACATATTATAATAGGACAACTTTCCCCGACAGACTACACACCACACTCACACAGTTAAGCTTTCCCTGTTCTTCTCGCAAGGCCTACTACACAAACACCTTTACACAAACACACACACCCGCACACACTGTATAAACAATCCGCGTACAAGACACACAGATACAAAAATGTACCGCACACCGACAACCTCCGGCGCTGCCAGAAAACCTGGTTCCTCCAGCCCCACTGCAACCCCATCTGCACCAGCGCAGGACGCTGCTAAAACTTTTATCCGGAGACCAGACCGGAAAAGAAGATCACTGGATAATATGGCGATATACAACAAGCATATAGAGGACTACGCGGTGAAACCGAGTGACGCGCTCCTCCAGGAGGTGATGAAGACCTTTGAGGACATTCCAGCGAAAGTCCAAGAATACCCTCAAATGAGGAAAGATATAAAGACCTTCCTGGAGGGGCAGTCTGATAAGTGCCTCCGTATCTTGTTTGAATTAAGCAAGCGAGTGAC